ATTATATTTTCTTCTATATAGATAGAAAATTTCCATTAAAATGGGGTAAAAATATTCATTTAGATGTACATGTGTGTGAATTTATAAATAAATCTTTATATCTATCTATCTATCTCTTTATTTCCTATTCCATACCTGACCTTCAACTTGGATAGGTTTCCTTCTGCCTGAAAGTACCTCTTAGGTCTGCTAGTGACAGATTATCTCAGTTTTTATATGTCTGCAAGTATCTTCATCTTGCCTCCTTTTCTGACATATATTTTTGCTATGTCTTGAATGTGAAGCTGCAGTCATTTTCTTTTAGCCCATTGAAGGTGTCATTCTATGGTCTTCTGGTTCCTGCTGTTTCTGTTGAGAAGTCAGCTTTCAACCTCATTCTTACTCCTTTGAAGACAAGCTGACTTTTTTCCTCAAATTCTTCTAAGGTTTAAAAAAATGTGTCTTTGATTTTCTGATGTTTTACAATAATTTAGCTAGGTGTATAATTAATTTTATTTATCCTGCTTGGAATTTGTACGACTTCATTATTTGAAAAACATTCTCAGTCATTATTTTTAAAATATTGCTTCAACCTCATTACCTCTTTCCCCTCTTTGACTCCAACTGAAGGCATATTTTATCTACTCAGTGTATCCTCTGTATCTCCTACTCTCCCTTCTGCATATTTTATTCTTTTGTCTCTTCATGTTTAATTCGAATATTTTCTTCTGACCTATCTACCAGCTCACTAATTCTCTCTTCATTTTTGTCTAATTGACTATGAAAACCATCCATGGGGTTATTAATTATTGTGCTTTTCTACTTCAAAGTTTTTTCCAATCTGCTGTGCCATTTTTTTTTTGTAGTTTTGTAGTTTTTGAAGTTTTCCCAGTCTTTTATCTCCTTGAATATTGTAAGCATGGTTATTTTTTAGTCTGTGTCTGTTGATTCCGATATCTGGACTCTCTGGGGGTGTTTCTTTTTTCTTTTCTCTCTCTTTTTTTTTTTTTTTTTAACCATGCCTGACTGGCTTGTTTTATTAGAGAAGAGGATGTGGAGTTAACAACATGAAGACAGTTGGTACTGATCTCGGAGAGACAGCAGTGAGTGGTGCTGAAGAGAGATCTTAGTTCCCTGCCCAGGAATTGAACCTGGGTAGCCTAGAAGAAAACCAGGAATCCTAGCCAGTAGCCCACCAGAGGCTAGAGGCTAGAAGCAAAGTTCCCCTGGCTCTTACCCCTTTGAAAGCAAGAATGTTTCAGTGAGGCACAAACTGTAAGAACAGGTACAAAGTTTATTATTAGAGACACAGCACAACAAGTGGGAGAGCACACAGAGAAACAGTTTGTTCATTTAAGAAGAAGCAGGCAGAAATACACACCTGAAGAGAAAGGGTATGGGCGTCCTTCCTAATGAGGAGGAGCGCAGTAAAGAGGTGATTCAAATCACTTAAATAGGGCAGTTCTTCTGAGTGTTTGTTTACCTTTGGCCAATTATCTTGTTTCCTTTTTCACACCTGACTGGTCCTAGGACCCTTTCCAACTTGTGTGCACAACTTTTTGCTAAGATGGATTCCATTGCAGAGGCCTGTGGCGGTATGTCCACACTTATTATGGGGTGGCGCCCCCTCCCTTTTTGACCCCCAGGGAGCCTTCCTGCGCATGTGCAGAGAGGGAAGTTTTCCTTGACCTCAGGAGCGATCATCTTATCTCTTTACTTCAGCAGAGCTCAGCTTCTGCCACTAGCTTTGTCCTTGGAGCGTCTGGGTGAGAACAAAGCTTCAATTTTACTCCACTTGACAAACGCCAGCTGTCCAGCCCAGGGGCCCATCTATCTCCTACCTCAGTATCTGAGGTTGGGAAAAACATCCTCCCCTCCCCATACATGCCCATTGCTACAAATAAAAAATAACCAACTATGAGGGAGCAGCTGAGACAGTGACCGGGCCTCAGGGGAAGGAGACATGGAAGTCAAGGGCAGCAGAAGAGACCATGCATGGGCTGGGAGGGCCCAGAGGCAGCAGCTGCATGAGTAGCTGCATGAGAATAACATGAGTACAAGTCTCTGTATCTTCCACATAGGTCTGCATAAGTACAGAGAGATAAGTTGTCCCTTTCCCCCACCTTCTCTCCCTTCTGCTTCATGCTGCTTGCTGCAATCCCAGCTCCTTTTTCCACATGAGGGCGAAAGGAAGGGGAATGACGAGTACGTCATCACTAAATTGCAGTCAGACTCATATCCATGATCTGGATCTTCCATGCTATTACAAGATTCTCCAATGTCCACTGAGTGTCTAGGGGTAATTCTTTTTTTAAAAAATTTTATTGAAGCATAGTTGATTTAAAATGTTGTGTTAATTTCTTATGTACAGCAAAGTGACTCAGTTATACATATGTTACAGACCAGGGTTCTTGGCCTCCTTAATCAATAGAAATTGATTAGAGGACAGACAAGAAATTCAAGTAAGGCTTTATTGGGGCCCCTGCTGTAGCAGAGGGGAGCAAGAACAAGTAACAGTTTCCCTTGCTAGCTCCCTCCCTCAAGGTGGTGTGAGCTGATTCCTTATATGGGGTGAGGGTAGGGGTGTGTCCAGGGTTCAGGCCGGTGGGGTGGCTTAGATGGTGTGCCCGGCCCTTAGGTGGTGTTGTGTGCTGGGGGCATGCGCAGTACCCTGCCTTTGCCCCGGGCTCTTTAGAAGGGCCAGTTGGGCTTTTTGGTCTCTTTGTATCTTGTTGTCCAGAATTTGCCCCAACTGCGCATGCACACAGTTATTTTTAGTCCCTTATAGTTTCTTTGTATTTTGTTGCTCAAGGTGATGTTTGACCAGGTGCAAGCACTGCAGCACTGTGGCACTGCAGCAAAGGGTCCCGGGTCCCAGCCCGTCTCATTTCCCCCAAGGGACTCTACACCTTTATTCTTAAGGGGTAAGGGGCTGAAGGTCTCTTCTTCTGAAACTCTTCCTCCTGGTTGGGCTGCAGACCCTAGCCTACCCTAGAGGTGTAGAAGTCCCTCGCTGATTGTTTCAAGGACTTGTAGGGACGTGGGCCACTCTCCGCTGGAATGGGTTGAATGCCTTGAGCCGTCATGAGCCTTACTTCAGACTGTTGGAGCCTAGAAGACACAACCTTAACCAGAAGGTTAAACAAACAAGGGCTAAAAAGGGGAAGAACAACAATAGCCATTAAAGGGCCTAGAAAGGGAAGGAACCAGGTTAACTTTGGGAGGGCTTCCTTAACTGTTGACCAGACAGCTGAGGCGGTATCACCCCTGCCAAAATTGTGAAGCCACTTTGCTCGGGCATATATTTCCTTAATATTAACTTCTGCCTGTCCTGTCGCATTGATCCAGGTGCAGCAGAAAGTATTAGTTATCACACAGACTTTCTGTCAATGGTGCCTGACTTTTGAATAGATATCTCAGATCTTCCACTGGCTCACAGTGTATTGTTCTTCTGTTGTGACCTGCGGGGCTTCTGGAGGTAAAAGCTTTAGTGGACAAATGTACCCAACTAGATATCCTTTGAGTTTGACAGCAGTGGGAGTGGCTAAAATTACTTTATAGGGGACCTTCCATTTTGGCAATAGTTGGTCTTCAGGGATCCAACTTTCCAGGTTTTACGCACTTGGTCCCTGGGGTTTATTTGTGAAGGAACTGCTCCTTCCTCTGTATTTTTAGTGGGAGCTGGCCGTGCTTTGTGGGCACAGTCCTGGATTGCCTTCTGAACTTGTCCTAGGTTAATAGTATATCTCAGGGCCTGGTTTACTTCCTCACCCAGTACAATGTCAGTAGTAATAAAAGGCCTCCCATAGGTCGTTTCAAATGGCTTAAGCCTCAGACCACTCCTGGGGGCTACACGGACCCTGAGGGGTGCAGTAGGAAGCCAGCTGGTCCAGGGTTCATGAGTGTCTTGGCAGAGCTTTGCTAAGGTTTTCTTTAAAGTATGGTTCATTTTCTCTACCTTCCCTTTCTCTACCTTTCCTTGGCACTGGGGATGCCAAGAGATGTGTAGCTTGTAATCTATCCGTAGGGCCACTGTGAACCCCTGTGTGATTATGGTTATAAAGGGGCTGTTATCACTCTGCAGGGACTTTGGAAGTCCAAACCAAGGAATTATTTCTTTTAAAAGGGACATACAGACTGCCATAGTCTTTTCAGATCGGGTAGGGGAAGGCTTCAGCCCATCCTGTGAAAGTATCAACAAACACCAGAAGATATTTATATCCTCATCGTGGGGACATTGGGTGAAATCTAACTGCCAGCCTTCCCCCCGGATATGTCCCTCGGCATTGAATTGGCCTGAGTAACGAAGGGGGGATTGGATGGGTCTGTGGGTTATTACAGGCACATAAATCACAGGCAAGTGTTACTTGTTTTACTGTTCTTTTAAGCCCCTTCCCTGAAAAAGCCTTTCGCATCAAGTCCCATAGCGCATCCTCCCACAGTGGGTGGCATCATGTAAGCTCTTAGTGAGTTTCCACTGTTCTAATCCTCAGGGATTAGAACCTTATCCTCCTTTTTATACCAGCCAGTGCTTCCTTTCTCATAGTCCCATTTCTCAGCATTTTCTTGTTCCTGTGGGGAATACTGGGGAAGGCTAGGGAGTTCAGGGGGCCATAATTTGTTCAGGTTCCTGAAATCAAGCTGCCTGTTTTGCAATTTGATCAGCTTTGCTCTTCCCTTGGGTCACAGAAAATCCACCCCTCTGATGGACCCTACAGTGGGCTACTGCTACCTGGGTCGGGAGCTGCACTGCTTCTAAAAGAGCCAGAATCAAATCTTTATGTTTTATGGGGGAATTTCTAGGGGTTAACATTCCCCTTTCTTTCCAAATGGCAGCATGAGCCTGTAGCACATGGAACCCATAATTAGAGTCAGTAAAAATATTTAATTTCTTATCCTTCCCTAATTGCAAAGCTCTTATTAACGCAATTAGTTCAGCCTTCTGGGCTGACGCCTGGGGTGGCAGGGCCTTGGCTTCTATAACTTCATCTAGATTAACTATGGCATACCCCGCCTTTCAGGTTCCCATTTCTACAAAACTGCTCCCATCAGTAAACCATTCGACCTCAGGGCTGTCAAGAGGCTCATCTAGAAGATCAGACGTGCTGGAGTAAGTTTGTTCTATGGTCTCAATACACGGATGCACTGAGTCTCCACTCTCGACCGCTGGAAACAGAGTTGCTGGGTTCTTCAGCGTTTGGCATACCTTTAAGGGAATGTCAGGGATACCCATTAGGAGGGACTGATATCTTGTTAACCTTCCGCCAGCCAACCAATGATGTCCCTTGACTTCCAGCACAGATTGTACCTCATGAGGGGTTAACACATCTAAGTGTTGTCCCAGGATGAGTTTGGAAGCCTCATTAACCCACAGGGCTGTGGCTGCTACTGCCCACAGGCAGCTTGGCCATCCCAGGGCCACTGAATCCAGTTGTTTTGAAAAGTAAGCCACTGGTCTTTGATCCAGTCCCAGCTTTTGGGTCAGGACTCCTAGTGCTGTCCCTGACCTCTTGTGAACGTATAGGGTGAAGGGCTTGTCCAGATTTGGAAGCCCCAATGCTGGTGCTCTGCTCAACTCAGGCTTTTGAGTCTCAAAGACCTGTTGGTAGTCCTTATTCCATTGAAGGGGTTCCCTTTCTTCTCCCTTCAGAGGCTCATATAGAGGTTTGGCTATAAGGCCATAATTTGGAATCCAGATACAACAGAACCCAGCCATCCTGAGAAAGCCTCGGAGTTGCCTCTGTGGTTGGAGATGGTAATACACTAATTGCTGTTTTTCGATCTATGGCCAGGGCTCATGCCCCTGGGCTCAAAAGAAATCCTAAATATTGAATCTGTTGCTGTGAGATCTGAGCCCTGGTTGAAGAGACTTTATATCCCCTTTTTGCCAGAAAATTTGGGACCCTAACAGTATTTTGATCTGAATCTTGTTTGGTCTCACTATTTATCAATAAATCACATCAACATATTGTAGCAGAGTTCCCTTCTCAAGGCCCAGTTTCCTCAGTTCTCTTGTTAACATGTTTCCCAAAAGATGGGGGCTGTCCTGAAAACCCTGAGGAAGCACTGTCCAGGTATACTGGGTAGCCTCCAGGGTGTCAGCATCCATCCAACTCAAAGGCAAAAAGGATGTAGGGGAATACAGAAAAACGCATCTGCGAGGTCCAAAACAGAAATACTGAGCGCTCCCCGGCACATGGGTGAGGGTGTATGGGTTTGGCACCAGTGGGTGAATAGGGATGGCTGCCTCATTCACTGCTCGTAAGCTCGTAAGTCTTGCACAAACAGATATTCCCCGTTAGGCTTCTGAATGGGGAGGATGGGGGTAATGCAAGGGGATTGGTAGGGCCTAATGTGTCAGTGTTTTAGGAATTTGCTGAGCAGCAGTTGGGTTCCCCTCAGGGCTTCAGGCTTTAAAGGCTATTGCCTTTTCCAGGAGTATTTTTCCCCAGGCCTTAAACTTTTTTTTTATTGGGGGAACGTGTTTTGCCCTTTCTGGCACCGATGTATTCCAAACTTCAGGATCTACTCATTCTCTAACACCTTGGGGGATGTTTTGAGGAGAATTATAATGACCAGCAGGTGGGTCATCTGGGGCTACTAATAGATGGCATTCTCTGTTTGAATTCTCTACCTCGTTGGATTTCACCCTGTCCTAAGAATATACTAGCTCCTAACTTATTTAGCACATCTCTCCCGAGGAGAGGGACAGGGCATCCTGGCATACACAAAAAGGAGTAAGTAATATTAATGGACCCGATTCTGCAGGCAAGGGGAGATGTAAATCGCCTTACTTTTGGCTGTCCATCATCTCCCATCCCAGTACACTCGGTTGGAGAGGGGGACAGCTGGCCAAGTCAGAACAGAGCAGGCGGTTCCAGTGTCTACAAGAAATTTAGTTCTTCTACCTGCCACATCAAGGGTCACCTGAGGCTCCGCTGGAGTAATGAGGATCGATCGAGTGCGATCTGGAGCCGGGCAGGTGCTCAGTCCGTGTGTGGGAATCTCTCATCAGAGAGATTCACAAGGAACTGGGGCCAGTCAGAGTTGCCCCTCGGGCATCCCACTAGAGGGCGCTCAGGACATTCCCCCTCCCAGTGCCCCCCTTCCGAAAAAAGGCACACTTGTTCGGGCCCAGGCAGCTTCTTGGTGGTCTGTCCAGCCTTCTCGGCCCTCCCGGGTCCCCTCGAGGTGGTGCGTGGATCAGAGCAGCCTAAAGCTGCATTTTCTTTATTAGCCTCTTATCCTTATTGGCCTCCTCCGTTAAGTCTCGGTTGTTCTAGACCTTGAAGGCCTCCTCTACGAAGGTTGACAACGGGGTTTGGGGCCCAGCCTCAAGCTTTTGTAATTTTCTCTGGATATCAGGAGTAGCCTGGGTGATAAAACGCATGGCCAAGAGTGTCTTTCCTTCCGAGGACTCAGGGTCTGTATTGGTGTTCTTCCGGAATGCGTCTGTCACCCAGCTCAGGAAGACTGCCAGGTTTTCATCTTTTTCCTGTGTAACTTCTCAGACCTTATCGTAATTTACAGGCTTCACCCTACACCTTTTCATTCCTTCTGATAGGCAAGTGATGTAATGTCTCATCCTACCCTGGCCTAGATGATCTTCATCGTCCCAGTAGGGATCGTGTTCTGGGATTGCGTTCTCACCTGCCTGATAAATATGGTGGTGTAGATTGGTTGCCAGTAGGCCATCTCCATGTTCCCTGGCCTTCCTCAGTATATGCTCCTTTTCATCTGGGGTGTGACAATGGGCCAGAATAACCATGATGTCCTGCCAGGTGAGAGAGAATGTCAACCCCAACCTGATAAATTCATCCCTAAAATTGTCAGGGTTCTCTGAGAACCTGCCAAACATCTCCTTACAGATTCCTGTCTCCCATTGAGAAGGGGACATGCACTCTAGTAATCCCTCTGTCCTGAAGGGTAAAGGACCTGTGGGGCAGAGGTAGGGGCTAACGTTGAGCCTGATTTGGAGTGACAGGAAGTTCCACTACAGGTTACCCTGGAGGGACTAGTCTCTCCCTCCTGGGGCAATGGAAGATATAAAGGGACATAGCGAGGCAGAGTTTGGGATTGGTCAGAGAGACCCAGAGAAGTAGGTGGCTCCGGGGAAGTAGGTGGGGCTTGATTTCCCCCCTGAGAGTTGGGGAAGGTTAGAATGGGATCATCTAAAACATCAGGAGTGTTTTCTGATTCCCCAGGCTTTTGATTACAGGAGCTGCATAGAGCTGGGTTTTGGTAAAGGATCATGAACGCTTGAACGCAGGGAACCCCAGTCCATCTTCCCATCTTGTGACAGTAAAGATCCAATTGCAAGATGGTATTATAATTTAGAGACCCATTTTCAGGCCATTTTTCTCCATTCCCCAGCTTATATAAGGGCCAGGTAATGTTACAGTAGAATTTGGTTTTCCCTTTTCATCCCGTCAATTTTGAAAATTTTCCAATTTTTCTTTTGGTGTATTTTTAAAAAATTAAATAAAATTTATTTTTTTGTACAGCAGCTCCTTATTAGTTATCCATTTTATACATATTAGTGTATACATGTCAATCCCAATCTCCCAGTTCATCCCACCACACCCTCTCCCCGCCACTTTCCCCCATGGTGTCCATATGTTAGTCCTCTACATCTGTGTCTCAATTTCTGCCCTGCAAACTGGTTCATCTGTACCATTTTTCTAGGTTCCACATATATGTGTTAATATATGATATTTGTTTTTCTCTTTCTGACTTACTTCACTCTGTATGACAGTCTCTAGATCAATCCACGTCTCTACAAATGACCCAATTTCATTCCTTTTTATGGCTGAGTAATATTCCATTGTATATATGTACCACACTTTATTTATCCATTCATCTGTCGATGGGCATTTAGGTTGCTTCCATGTCCTGGCTATTGTAAATAGTGCTGCAATAAACATTGGGGTGCATGTGTCTTTTTTTTTTCTTTTCTAAAATAAATTTATTTATTTATTTATTTTTGGCTGTGTTGGGTCTTCGTTGCTGTGCATGGGCTTTCTCTAGTTGCGGTGAGCAGGGGCTACTCTTCATTGCAGTGTGCGGGCTTCTCATTGCCATGGCTTCTCTTGTTGCGGAGCATGGGCTCTAGGCGCACAGACTTCAGTAGTTGTGGCATGTGGGCTCAGTAGTTGTGGCTCGCGGGCTCTAGAGCTCAGGTTCAGTAGTTGTGGCGCACAGGCTTATTGCTCCGCGGCATGTGGGATCTTCCCGGGCCAGGGCTCAAACCCATGTCCCCTGCATTGGCAGGCGGATTCTTAACCACTGCGCCACCAGGGAAGCCCTGCATGTGTCTTTTTGAATTATGGTTTTCTCTGGGTATATGCCCAGTAGTGGGATTGCTGAGTCATATGGCAATTCTATTTTTAGTTTTTTAAGGAACCTCCATACTGTTCTCCATAGTGGCTCTATCAATTTACTTTCCCACCAACAGTGCAAGAGGGTTCCCTTTTCTCCACACCCTCTCCAGTGTTTGTTGTTTGTAGATTTTCTGATGATGCCCATTCTACCTGGTGTGAGGTGATACCTCATTGTAGTTTTAATTTGCATTTCTCTAATAATTAGTGATGTTGAGCAGCTTTTCATGTGCTTCTTGGCCATCTGTATGTCTTCTTTGGAGAAATGTCTATTTAGGTCTTCTGCGCATTTTTGGATTGGGGTGTTTGTTTTTTTTAATATTGAGCTGCATGAGCTGTTTATATATTTTGGAGATTAATCCTTTGTCCGTTGATTCGTTTGCAAATATTTTCTCCCATTCTGAGGGTTGTCTTTTTGTCTTGTTTGTAGTTTCCTTTGCTGTGCAAAAGCTTTTGAGTTTCATTAGGTCCCATTTGTTTATTTTTGTTTTTATTTCCATTACTCTAGGAGATGGATGAAAAAAGATCTTGCTGTGATTTATGTCAAAGTGTGTTCTTCCTATGTTTTCCTCTAAGAGTTTTATAGTGTCTGGTCTTACATTTAGGTCTCTAATCCATTTTGAGTTTATTTTTGTGTATGGTGTTAGGGAGTGTTCTAATTTCATTCTTTTACATGTAGCTGTCCAGTTTTCCTAGCACCACTTATGGAAGAGACTGTCTTTCCTCCATTGTA